TTCTTATGCGAACACAAATCGATTTATCAAGTTTTATCTGCTAGGGTTATGAAAGTGTTTGGCTGAGTAGATCGCATCTCTGTTTGATCTATTATTTTTTGTTTGTTTTCATGTCTTTTTATTGTTTTATTACGGAGTGAAAGTAACATAAATCAGGTCTTCTTGCTTCCTACGTTATACGATTTCCTTATTAAGAAGCGTAGGTAACAGTTATAAATGATGGTATGCACGGAATAGCAGTGGAATATTATCGCATGCTTTAATCTTGTATAAATTCATGAAAAAACCTTTCGAATACAACTTAACTAATTTTTCACACTACCATTTAAAAGGAAGCTTCAAGTGTTTAACATGAGCCTCTGAGGTCGTTTCATCTGGATATTTCCTTTGTAAATATTTAAGTGGTAATGAAAATACCGCTGAGATTGTTTGGCGAATTCCAACATGAACGTAAGGAGACACTGCTGTTGCGGTATAATGATTAAGATGTACAAAATATTCTCTTTTACTATCACAGATGTGATATGGGAAATCGACATTCATTGTCTGACCGATTTTAATCAACGCAGTGTCATCGGTGGGGCACAGGATGCTTTGTGTTGAGAGAGGCCTTAAAATAATGCAGGTGAAGTCGCTGGTTCGACCTCTTCGTGGCCAACTAAACTTTCTGTCTCTCCGATGTCAAGAAATTTGAGCCAAACTTGTTTTGGGAATGTTCGTGCCGATTCACAAATGCCGAGGACGCTATGTGCTGAAGACACGAAATCTCTCTAATACAGCTGACCCAGCATTCCAAAACGAGTTTACTGAACAGCATTCAACGAAATTCATGAAGAAGACCAAAACTCGTATGAAGTGCTGAGATATTTGCAAAACTCCGGACCACGGGTGTATGCAGTGGGGGACGAACACGCGCTATTATCCTTACCGGGGAGCAGTGCACTTCACCACTACACCATCCGGACCCGCTGCATACACCTGTGGTCCGGAGTTTTGCAAATATTTCAGCACTTCATACGAGTTATATTTCACAACATACCCTGCCATTAGGAAGAAAAAAGGCAGTAAATAAAAGAGTGAAGACCAAAACCTCAAGCAGCAGCCGAACTTCACACGCAAATCCAAAGACCTCTGTTGATGACGTATACAAGGAGACGAATGAAATAAAGGAATGTTGGAGTCTGCATAATGAATGTGTGGTTTCGGGTAGCACATAAAATATTAGTGTTTGACAGAGGTGCATAAATATCAGTATTTTTATTGAAGCCGCCTTACTGAACAGCATTTTATTGAATGCCTTAATTTGTCTTGCTAGCCTTCAATAACATTCTGCTGAAACTGCATTTATTTTTAGATAATTGTCCACCGTGGCATGTTTCAACCAATGAAGGTGCTTCTACTTCTAAAGAAGATATCGCAAAAGGTGTGCTCAGTCGACTACTTTTTTTTCATAGTTAAAGGTAACAAATTTGAATCTGCTAGATTGTGCTAACGATAGCGATTCTATGGATGTTGATGGAGGTGAAGGTGACCCGGAAGAGGAGCCCGGTGACATGAGGATCTCAGAGAGAGACAAGACCAGCAGTAACAATAGTGAAATGTCGAATTGCGATAGAACGCCTACAGATATGCCACGAGATGGATTCGGAGTTGGACGGGGCCAGTTTTTCAGATATACTGGAGGTAAACTGTAGTGTTTATTCTTCAGAGATAAATTTATACGTCCTTACTTTATGGATTCGGAAGGTTGGACATTTTTTAAGCGTGAGCTCGTGAAGCAGTTCTTCGGGTTAAAGAGGGACCTGTTTTTTTACTTTGGTAAGTAGTGTCTTTAAATCGAGTGAGGGTAGTTAGTTTCTTTTAAATGTCAGTAGATCCTTTGCCTCCAACAAATGGATCGCCCTTTTTCACGAGCCGTGGGAGCCCTACTACGAATACCATTCGTTTCTCTCCCTCTTGCTCACGTTCATGTTAGGGGTTTATATCGAGTATAGCGTCTTGTGCGACTATTCCATACCAATGTTAACTACAAGTATTTCCGTCGTCTGGCTTGTACATGATCCTTCTAGAAAACTCTCACATTTTCTTGAGGTTTATTCTAATATTCTGGTTTGTCTAATTCTGTGTTCCAAAAAGCATTTTATAGTCATCTTTACTGCTCCTACCGAAACGTTCTCCGTCGATTCATATCCTTTATATGAGAATGATATATTTTCATTGTTCTTCTAAAAAAAAGGAGTGCATGAAACAATTATCTAACAATATTATCGCACAAATCTGTTTTTCATCCATCCATACTTTGTTGTAAAAATTTGACCACTACGTAGCACAGCAAGCTAATGGCTAACCACCGTTGTTCTAACCCACAGTTGTAAACAATGGTTTGCAGCTTCCTAGGTGAATTATTAGATTAGTGGTTTATGTCATGAAGCTTATACAAATTCGTTGCAGGTCGAGCCTTTTTGCCGCAAGTGGGACCGCATGGAAGCTTCATGGGGGCATCAAGAGCAGCTACTCCACATCGTGGTCGGTTCGGATTCATCACCACTTCCGGACAAGCTGATCGAGGCGGTTTCTTTCCACCACCGATGAGAGGTGTTAATCGAGGTGCGCCCAATCTTAGACGTGGTTTCCCGAATACTGGTGGCTTCCGATCACCAATGACACAACAACTATTCCGTGGCCGTGGTGGTTTCTATGGACCTCGCCGGGCTGGCCCAAGAGGAGGAGTTTAACAAGCCAATCTGAAGAATGAGAAATGCTCGGAAATTTTCACAGCTAATGTTCTGTGGTGGCTAGCTGCTAGATGGCGGAGCCTATCTCATGATAGCTGGTATGTGACGCGTTGTTACACTTTACATTTTGTTTTCTTTTCCTTTAAATTATGTGTTTATGTTATATGTCGATTTGTTTAGACACATAAATTTATTTGTTTTGTTTTGTTACCTACCTTTATGTTTGATTGATCGAGTGATTAACTTTTTGTGATTGAGATTTTAGTGGAAAAGTTTTAACAAACCTAATTGAACGAAGTTTTCACCATTTGCTCCAGTTTAGTGTATGTTTGTCATTTCATCTCAACAAGAAGTTATTGAAGCTTTACCTATGGAAAAGTGTAAATTGTGTTCAAGAAGTAAAAATTTAAACTTCCATATCAAGAAAACAATGCTTTCTTCAAAGACAGTCTTGAAAATCTTGCGTGAATAAATCCCTCCATGTTAATACAAAGTTCTACAAGAATTTGTTCAGCAAGACAGTTCACACATTTCATCGGATTATCACATACACATACTGAATACCTAAACCCAGCAAGAGGTCTACTTTAAGGGCAAAAGTAATCGCCGCAACATTTGAGGATAATTCACGGAAGGTGAATTATGGTGATTCACGGTTCTACTACATACCTAAGGTCATTTAATAAACCGCTAAGAAACGAATAGAAGTAATATACTGTTTATTTGTTGCGGTACTGTTCTCATTTCTAAAACTACAATAGCAACGCAAGAAGTACGGATTGTACTGGACGGGTTTACAAAATAGCCTCTGTTAAGTGGAGGATTGCTGCGAAGTCCGGTAGACAGCGTAGTTCCCAGCATTTAAAGAGTGACATACTTAGAATAAGGGTTTATATGCAACAGAACGAAGGATGGTGGTAAAATATCGACTATATCGTAAGTTGTTTAAATTAACATTCCGCAAGATGGATTTCTTCTTTGCAATTGTGTTCTTTCACGTTGAAAATTGCAGCAAATACTATAACTATGAGGCATCAAATATAAGGTAGAATGGCACATACCATTCGGAGTTTACTGAATTATAATGATCCATTCATATGGCTGTAATGCAACGGCCTAATTTCGTAGAGGTTTCTAGATTCGGCAATAATTAACCAACTTGTATAACATCGGAAATGCTTTGGAGATATACAGGTACCATATAAGCTGAGTAACACAATAGTTAGAGGTGTTCAGCAATACACATGTTGTGGACTGCACGTTCAGTGGTGACCAAACCTATTCCTCTGGAATCGGCAAGTTGATACTAGGCTCATCTCGCGGGACGGAAGTACTGTTAATACTTGGGTAGGACCTTCAAAGTCCTTGTTATAGGCGAGAGACACATTCAACTTCGTGTTCCGATATTTAGTAAAGTCGAATGCAAGGCGTATCCCTCAAGGGCTGATCAATCCCGGAACGTTGCGCCATTTATTCTCTATTATTATGGGTTTGGAAACTGGATGGAACAGTGCACATTCATCGCGCTTCATAGTTTGAAACTGTGCTTAGGAAGCTTATGAGATAGTGCACAAATATCGCTGTAGACACTTCTTCGTAACTAGTGTAGTTGACCTCTTCCGTCTCTTCAATGTATCTATGTATGGATATTTGTCCTCTAACATGCAACTGATAATATACGGTGGGGAGTCTTAGTTCCATAACTTCGTCAACGCTGTCGGAAGTGATTGTTAACATGAGGAGATGCCTGTCGTTATAAGTAGTGGGTGAAGAATGTAAACTAATTGTTTACGTAAAATCTTTGAGAGCACGTTGTGTAAACAAATTGTTTAGCTGGAAATGGATTGGCGAGGATCAAGTTTTTTTAGGATACCGTAATTGGCGGTTCCTGTTTTACCAGTGATTTTAGTGCAACAAATGCTTTTTGTTCGGTAGTATAGTGCTTAATACCCGCGTCTGTCAGGTGAAATGGTTTTCTAGTATGGTGTCATATCCTGCTTAACATTCATACGTGTGAACTGTTTTGTGAACATTTTCAACTAAATACAACTTGGCTCAGGTTTTTGATTTAAAATTGTCCATTCCAAGTGACTTTTGTTTGCTTTTTGTACGAAAGGCAGCACTGGAAGCAATTTTCTCTAGAATTTCACACGTTTATAGTAGAAGTTGTTTTTTGTATCGGGTGGCTGATGTCACAAACATTAGGGAGTGGTAATAATAAGATGAAGCTTCGTTACATTTCTAGCCCATAATTCCCACTGTTTTTATGCCGACGTAATGAAATTCTAGGAAGAATTCTCTATGCAATGAGTGACCAGCATCCTCAGAGTTCTCACCGTTGATGATCAGGACTGCTGTCGTAATAAAACATCTGTTCTTTTCGAAAGTATCTTAGGTTTTGGAAGTGTTGTACACGGTAGTCACATTGTTAATCAGAAGTGTTTTAAGTACATGTGAATATTATACAAATATACCAGTAGGTTAATGACCTTAAACAGTACGAGATCTATGTCATACTTGCAGTATATGTAGAGTTTGTAGAAAAACCAAACTTGTAAAATCTGCGATTCTGAATGAATCTGCGATTGCGAAGACGAGGAATTTATAAACAGCTGTTCACGATAAAGCTGAAATCGTCAAATCAAAGAGTAGTTTTCGAGCATATGACTGAATATTCCCAGGAGCGTCTTTCTGTAAACCTTGAAATTGGTCAATAATCTCAACTGAAAAAAAAGATACAGAAGTTCCATTAGCGTAATAAACAGTTTCTTTTAAATACTCACTATTTTGCGATATACAAATTTTCACCTACTGATGAAGACCAGCCACACAGGATGTACGTGGGTGAGGAATGTGTTTGCATCAAGTCAAAAAATTAACCTAAGGTATTGAACGAGGTCATGACTGATCATGCACTTCTCGCTACGGATCATCATTTTTTGTAATTTATCCAAGAATAGAAGGAGAGTTTTGCGCGCTGGTTTTGAGATACCTATGCGAGGATGATGATTTCTCCTTCAACATTTTCTCCTGTGAACACCTGGGGGAGTGTTTTGTTGAACTTTAAGTTTACGGACTTACTTACTTACTACTTGGATACTGGACGGTCCGTCTTCACGAGCACTGCGCACCCTAGCACATATGCCATTTGTTCCTTTCTCTCGCAATCGTAATCCATGGTGGTGGTCTTGTTCGAGTATGGTAGCGCTTGCCAGTCTCATACCGTGATCTGTAAAACAACTGCAGTTGTGGATACAGCTGATTAACTTTGTTTACGAACACGTCTGTCCAACATATAGGTGGTCGTCCAAGGGAACGTTTGCATTCTCTTGGAGTCCACTTTACTGTTCTTTTCGTCCATCTGTCGTCTGTTCTTCTCATTATGTGACCGGTCTATCTATGTTTCGCTGTCGATGTATAATCTCCTGGATCTCGAAGATGTGACAGATTTCGAAGCTCAGAGCTTCGCACTGCGGCTACATATTGAGAGTGCCGGTTATATTTCAGAAGACATCGTTCAAGCGCTCTGTGAGTAGTTCGAAGCATTCTTGACGTAGTTGTAGTATCTACCCACGTTTCTGCAGAATAAAAGAACCCTGGGAGGACCGCAGAATCAAAGAGATGAGCGCGAATTTTCGGGTCCGTCAGCTGGTCGGTGGCTTCTTTGAGAGGCCCGTATGCGGCCGAAGCTGCTCTTCTTCTTCTATTTAGTTCCTCCTCCATGTTGTTTTCCATGTTCTTTGATCTCCCAGGCATACGAACGAGGTGATCTCTGCAATGGGAGAGCTATCCAATTCCAATTTTTTCGTCTTCGCACCATGGGTTTTTCATGAACTGGGTCTTCTTTCGATTTATGCGATGTCCGATCTTTTTTCCCGTTTCGCTGAGCTCATTGATTTTTTTTCTGCTTCGCTGGTGCTTCTTGAGGAAATGAGGATGTCGTCGGCGAAACGAAGGTTGGATACGAATTTTCCCTTAATACGTATGCCTTTCTCATTCCAATCGAGGGACTTCATTATCCACTACGGTGCGGCGCTAAACAGCTTTGGCGATATTGTGTCGCACTGTCGAACCCCTTTTCCTATGGCTTTGTAAGAGGTCGATAGAAAAGGTGTATTTTCGTAGTGCAGTTCCGATAACAGGGTCCTAATGTAGGTCGGGTCCACTCCTTGGTCGACGAGTGCTGATGGGATTGCATTCGTTTCGACACTGTTAAACGATTTCTCATAGTCACTAAAGATTAGGACTAGAGGCAAGTGGTATTCCAGACAAACTTCGATGACCGTGGACACGGTTTGGATGTGGTCCATGCAGCAAAATCCTTTTCGAAATCCTGCTTGCTCGACTGGTTGCGCCTCATCCATTGTCCTTGATATGCGCGAGAGGATAATCTTCGTGAAGAGTTTGTAGAGCACACTTAACAAGCATATAGGACGATAGCTACGAAGATCCCTTCGATCTCCTTTCTTGGGCAGGATGATCGTGCGCAACGTCCTCCACTGGTCTGGGATTTTTTTCTTTTGAAGTTAGCCTGTCATATGATCTGCGAGAAGTACATGTAAATTGTAGCCTCCAGCTCTAAGGAAATCAGTAGTGATATCATCGGGTCTTGGAGCTGTGCCTCTTTTCATGCTTTCTATCGCTACTGGAACCTCCGACGGAAGAATTCCAGGTGGTTTTTCTCCAACTCGGGATATTAGGGCTCGAGAAGGGGATTGTGGAACGGAAAAGGTTGGTGTAGAACGTTTCCGCTATTAATTGGATATCATGGCGGGAAGCTTTGACGATCCCATTTTCGTTCATTAGGGCTGACGGCGGAATATTATAATCACACAAGTCCCGACGGCATTTTTTCAGACTGCTTCTTTTCTCTCCTGGTTCCAGTATTTTCTTCTGCTTGTACCGTTGTAGATCTTCCCTGCAAAGCTCTTCTGCAGCTGGCATTTATTATTAGCCATGTTAAACGGCTTGCAGTAGGGTCAAGTTTCAGTTTCCTTCTC